AACTTTTCCTTCCCCCTACTTTTACTATAAAAATAATGTACCCCTGCTGCATCTTCCTGTGGCTGCTTCCTGGAAGGTCACTGTGCCAGGCAGAGGGTCACTGTATGTCCCCACAAATGACTTGGAAAATGCCTCTGGAGACTCAACCTCTTGTTGCAGTGGGCACATGAACCTTCTGAGGACAATAGGCAGGATGTGGTGGCAACAGGGTTTGAGACGGCACGTCAACCATTGTATGGGCTGGGTGAGGAAGAAACCAAACACCATGTTGGTCAGGCTCAAGTTGAGAGCAGGCAGGTATGCTGCCAAGATGGGGGAGTCCCCAGGGTGTTCTTGGAGGAGGGAGATTTATAAATGAAGGAATCCAGGATGTGCCAAGCCCTGTGGAGATGCCTCTCCTCTCCACTGGACAGTTTCCTGCCACTCCATCCCAATGCCCAGCAAGTAGACAGAAAAGAGTCAAGGTGGTCAGCCCAATGTTTAGAGATTATGATGTCTCTGGGAGGGTCAGGATAAAATCTATAACCATGGTGGTGTAGAGTAACTACACACATCTCTCTCAATTTAGCTGCCTTAGCTCCTCTTCCTGGTCCAATTCTTGTCATTATCAGAAAGCACACATGGCTCTCTTGGGATGGTCGGTTGAAACTGGCTACTCCTACCACTGTATACCTGGGTGGTAGGTTGGCCTTTTCATCTGTAAAATGAGTAGGTGAAGACTGGTGTGAGGATCAAATAAAGAAATACATTATTACACTGATACAAACATTTCATTATAACAGGAATGGACCCACAGTGCAACTAAAATAACCAGTGAGCAAGCTGTGTATAGGCAACTTTTCTGTAAAAACCCAGATTGCAGCTGGCCCTATGGAGTCTTAAGTTTTGGCCATGCATCAAACAAAAGCAAAACAAGTTACTTTTCATCTGAAAATAAGAACATAAGGAACTGCAGTGACAACCACCGGCAGAGTAGGCTCACTGAGCTTTCACCTGGGTCAGGTGCTGCTCATGCTCATCTGCTTCATCAATTCTCCCCCAAATCTGTGAGATCTGAACCCTTTCCCTATCTGATTGCTATGAGAGGTTTAGAAACTTGGACAACACTATCCCATGGCTGTGCCTGGCTGCAATTTGCAGGCTCCCTTGCAAGCACTTCTCTAAACGCTGCAGGTCTTAAACAAGTGCCTTGAAACATGAAAATGCTTCTAAAAGGAAAGCCAAGCTAAAAGCAGCTGGGAAGATAGGATTAAATTTAAGAGAAAAGTTCTTCATATTGATGAACAGCTTTTAGAAGAGGTTACAGAATTCCCAAGAACTGTGTAAAATTAAACCTCTGCATTGTTGAAATCTTTGTTCTCTGTCATTAGAAACAAGTTATATGTTATATAAATTGTACACCTAAAAATAGCTATTATTGCTGGGCACTAGTAGCTCATGTTTATAATCCTACTCAAGAGGCTGAGATCTGAGGATTGTAGTTTGAAGCCAGGCTAGGCAGGAAAGTCCCTGAAATTCTTTTTTTTTTTTTTTTTTTTTTTGGGTCTGGTCGTGGGGACTGAACTCTGAGCCTGGGCCTTGTTTCTCAGCTCTTCAGCTCAAGGCTAGTGCTCTATCACTTGAGCCACAGCGCCACTTCTGGCTTTTTTTCTTTTTATGTGGTGCTGAGGAATCGAACCCAGGGCCTCAGGCATGCAAGGCAAGCGCTCTACCACTGAGCCACCTTCCCAGCCCAAGTCCATGAAATTCTTAGTTCCAATTCACCACCAAAAAATTGGAAGTGGACCTGGAACTCAAATGGCAGAGTGCTTTGAGCCAAAAAGCTCAGGGATAATTCCCAGGTTGAGTTCAAGCCCTAGTACTAGCATAATTTTTTTTAAAGAAACGATCACAATATTCTTTAGTCTATAAGGTTGTGAATTAGTGGAAAATACTAAGTACATATCAGGATAACTACCACTAGAATTATGTATCATGCATATTTAAATTACTAAAATAATTAATTTAAAATGTTCTTACCATTAAGAATTTTTTTTTTGTCGGTTGCGGGGCTTGAACTCTGGGCTTGGGCACTGTCCCTGTACTATGCAGCTCAAGGCGAGCACTCTACGGCTTGAGCCACAGCGCCACTTCTGGTTTTCTAGTGGTTTATTGGAGATAAGAGTCTCACGGACTTTCTTGCCCGTGCTGGCTTTGAACCGTGATCCTCAGATCGCAGCCTCCTGAGTAGCTAGGATTACAGGTGTGAGCCACTGGCGCCCGGCTACCATTAAGAAATGTTATGTGCTAGGATTACATGGTAGCTCATGTAATACTAACTACTCAGGAGGCTGACATCTGAAGATGGAGGTAAAAAGCCAGCCTGGACAGATAAATCTTTTGACAACAGTAAAAAGCTGGAAGTGGAGATGTGGCTCAAGTAGTCGAGCCAGTCTTGGGCAAAAAAGCCAAGCATGAGCGCAAGGTTATAAGTACAAGCCTCAGTACTGGAAAAGGAAAACCACACACACACACACACACACACACACACACACACGAAGGGAGAAAAGAAAGAAGGGAAGGAGGGAGGGAGAGAAGAAGGGGGAGAGGAAGACCTCAATTTTGCTAGGCAAGTGTTCTACTGTTGAGTAATACCTCCAGCCCCCCACCTTTTTTGTCAGTTGGGGGGCATGAGCTCTGGGCCTGGGCATTGTCCCTCAGCTCTTCAGCTCAAGGCTAGTGCTCTACCACTTGAGCCACAGCGCCACTTCCAGCTTTTTCTGTGTATGTGGTACTGAGGAATTGAACCCAGGGCTTCCTGCATGCTAGGCAAGCACCCTACCACTAAGCCACATTCCCAGCCCCCCTTTTATGATATTTTTGAGAGAGGCCTTCTTGGCACTTCATTACCTATTTATGCTAGCTTCCCATTAAGCTAGGATGACAGAAACTCACCACATATCCAGAAGGGATCTCAGAAACTTTTCTTGCCTGGGATGGCTTCAAATCACAATCCTGTCACCAGTGCAAATGCACCTGGTGTGATGCAGATCTGTGAAAGAGGTAATAAAGCTCTTCATGGCACATTGAAACTAGGCTAAGAGAGCACTGATGAATAGGAAAAACCTCCAGATCATTCCACCTATCCATCCTATCAGATAACCTCACTCAGGACTAGCATATGACTGGGGGGAACCAGGGCGGGGGGAGGTGGGCAATGCATCCTTAATAGCGTGGCTATATCTCTGTGCAGTATCTGCTGGGTCCTACAGGGCCTCTTAGTTTTCCTACCAAAGTATGATTGCTGAGAGGCAAAGCCTCTCACAAAAATGCAAAGATTTTTGGCTGGATTGTCAGTTTTCCTGCATGCAATGCTTTCCTAAAGGGATTGTTTCTAATATGGTTTCCTGGGTGAGGTGAGGAAAAAGCTGTTTTGGTTGTCCCCTCAAAGAATATTTTCACAAGAAGGGGATCATTTTCCTGTGTAACCACAAGTAAATGATCTAAGGTCACCATGAAGTGGGCACAGGTGCTTCTATGATGTCTATATCAGGTATGATTAGACAAGTTCTCTGAACAGTAGCTGCTCCCTGCCAAGTAATTCTATACTGACAAAGATTTTTCCCCCACAACAAACTCAAGACTGTACAGAAAGAAGAGGAGGCAAAATCGGCACAGGTGGCTCATGTCTATAATCCTAGCTACTCAGAAGTCTAAACTTTGTGGAGCATTGTGGTTCAAAACCTGGCCTGACAGAAAAGTCCTCTATTTTCAATTAACTAGCAAACAAAATACGCCTTTATCTACCACCTACCACTTACCACCAAAACAACAAAAAAAAAACCCAACCTAAACAAAAAAACTGGTGTAGTACTGGTGGTACAGTGCGAGCTACATTAGAGCTAGCAGCCCTGGGTTCAAGCCCCAGTATTAGTATAAACAAGCATACAGTGAAGCTACTCATCAAAACCTATACTTCTCTGCTATCACCTCAAGGAGTTTTTAGTGTCTTCAGTCTTCATACTTGTTGTCCAACTCAACTTTCACTTTATCTTTGGAGACAGAGGGAGCAGGGTTCTAATAATGGCTCTCTCACATTCCTCTGCCTGCCTCTAGGAAAGGCACAATAGTTCCTCTTGTGTAAACTAGGGGGTGTTTTACCATGGGAAATAAGTCATCTATCAGTCTTCATTGAATGGTTTCTCAACTAAAATGATCAAAGAGATGTCAGCATTTTTAAAGACAACATTCCCAGATCAAGAGAGAAGCTACTACACATGGATAATTGAAAGGAGGAAGCCTTTACTCCACAAAGGGTGAGCTGGAGGGAGGGATGTCATCCTCACATCTGAAGCAGCTACACATAAGAACACCCTACCCTCGTGAAGATGGAGGTGTGAGGATTCAGATATGTCAGATGCATCAATCTGGGGAACTCATTCCATGCTCTCATCTCCTCTGTATTCAAGTCAAGTTCCTCATTACTACCTTTGGAGACTCAGGCACCGAGGCCTAACGATAGCCTCCCCCCAAACTCCCCCATCTGATTCCTGCTGGTTTGGTTATAAATTCCCCTCAGTAGAGCTACGAGAAATAACTATGTAGAGAATATATCCTTGAGTACAGTGCAGTAGATAGTTAAAGCAAGTCTTTACAGCAAGAAGAGCCAATTAGCAAATTCACTGATGATCATTCCCTCTATTTGCATTTGTATGGTCAAAAACTTTCCAGGTTAGCCAGGCACCAGTGGCTCATACCTGTAATCCTAGCTATTTAGGAAGCTGAAGCCTGAGGACTGAAGTTCAAGGCCAGGTGGGGCAGAAAAGGCTGTGAGACTTTTATCTACAATTAACCACCAGAAAACCATATGTGGCACTGTGCCTCAAAGTGACAGAGTGCTAACCTTGAGCAAAAAGAGCTCAGGGGCAGCACGTAGGCCCTGAGTTCAAGACCCACAACAAAAATAAACAAATATTCCAGGTATTGACTCATGAAATGAAATAAATACTTGAATAAAGAAATACTCACAGAAACATAAAGCACTTGTTTATTATTGCTGTAATCAAGGCAAAAATCTCTTAAAACCATTAGCCTTGATAATGGAAGTATAATCAGAACCCATGAATTTACAGTTTGTTCTCTGCTGCTGAGACTTCATTGTTGCACACGAACCACCTACCACAACACCTTTGTTACACAAGAGGAAGAAGAATGAATCTGGGATTACAAAAGTGGCTTTACCACTTGCCTAGTTCCTGACTTCAGATCAGTCATATTCTCTTTGAACTCATCTCGCTTAAAAAAAAAAAAAAAAAGAGTGGGAGAGGAGAGGGCAGAATAAACCTACCTGCTTAGAGGAACAACTGAGATAACAAGAATGAAACCACACTGTAAACTCTAAAATATTACACAAAATACAATATTGTTAATGCAAAGAGGGGGAGAAATCATTACCCAACAGTCTAAGTTTGTGAGAGCCTGTTTGACAGTCACTGAGAGCCTTAAATTCTGGATCAGGGCAAAAGGTATTGACCAAGTCTTCAGTCTCACTCACTAAAAAAGTATCTGGCATGACAAGCCATTTAATATGGACCCAACTATAACCTAGAAACACTGTCAGTTTTATTTTACCTTAATATACATTTATACAGGCAATAATAAAAAGGCTATTATACAACGATTCAGTGAGTTTTACCTAGTTTCAAGAATAATGCATGCAGTTACAAATGAGAGGTAGAAACACTGTATTAAAGACCTAAAAATACAAACATCATATAAATAAATGTTCAAATTAACTGCTGAAATTTCATACAGATAAATAAGGTAAAAATTACATTACTTTGTCCAAGTAAAGAAAACCATGTTGTTTGTCAGCACACTAAAATCAGAGTAATGCTGAAGAGCTTCTGTGCCACTGTCAAGAATATAGATTATTTTATATGAAAGGATTAAAATAAGACTAAAACTGGTGAATGGTTTATTCAAGTATTCAAGCAGGTAAGTAAAAGAAATCAAATAATATACAAGTAGGAACCATTCTTGGAGGGATGTTAACTGCCTGCATTCTCCATGACTAGCTATTTGGTGAGCTGTCAGGATTAACATTAAAAATACATATTAGACTGGAGAAAGCTGCCTGTTTTCCTAAGAGGAAACAAACCTCATTTCTTACTAACTTCATGTAGAAGTTCCACATCACTATCCATCTTTTTATCACCACTTTGGCCCTATTAAAATTCTCAAGAGTATCTCTTGATTCATGATAGGTTTTTTTTAATACTGCCCAAATAAATCTAGCCTTTAATAAACCTAAGGTCACAGGCATCAATGCACATTCTGCATGCACAACAAAAAATGCAAACAGAAAGCAACTCAAATATTACTGAGGAGATCTGTAAGTGTAGATAAACAGGTTAAAAAAACACAAAGGTTTACATGAACACAAGTCATGACCATTTAAAAGTTCAATAGAGATTACATGTGAATTCTGGAAAAAGTTTATGTATATAATCAAGTAAAATATTTTAAACAAGTCCATTGTGCCTCTGTTAGTTTAAATTGCAAAATCGAATACACAGTTGTTTTAATAAATTAGTGCAATATGAAAGATTTTGTAAGATTAACAGGTCCATATTAGATCAAATTGAAGATTTCAAAATTTCTTCCAAGAATCACCTTCTGCTGCTTCTTAAAACTACTTCTTCATGAGCTGTTTAAGATGCATGTTCAGATTCATACAAACTTATTCCAAATATCAAACCACCTGAATGAGGTGTTGACTCTAGCTTGTTTATACACCTTAGCAAACACACAGAATTTCATACATTGCTCTGTGAATTGAGTGAAGTGCCATTCAGTCTGTTTTATGTTTAATTATCCATAAGAATAACTGTACTGATAATTCTAGTTCTAAGGTATATTTATTTACCAATTTCAACTGGGAGCCAAGTGGAATATTCTTGCTTCTATAAAGGAAAAAGGGAAAGGGGAGTGACTTCTCTGATAAGGCAGATTTTCTACAAACATGTAGTTTTTCGATTGTTTTTCCTTTTTAAATCACTGCTTGTTCTTTGGTAGTCACCAGTTAGGAAACTACAGTTTCCTTGGAATGGGAAGCTGTAATTCCAGTCACCTCACATTCCCATAGTGGTCTATAAACAAGCCTCCTGCTCACACAGTTGCAGTGCTACAGCACAGTGCCGACAGTCTTCTTTCAATACTCGATTTATCTAGAAAAAAAATTAAAAGTTAAATTCATAAGCAAAACTATTTCTATTTTTTTATTATTTATCCATTTTTGGAAATATTAAGGTTTGAACTCTGGACTTCTTTGCTTGCTAAGGAGGAGGCACTCTACCATATGAGTCACATTTCTAGCCCCCAAAGTATTTGTAGTTTCAAAACCAAGGACAGAAGAACTAATGGGAAAAAAACCTTAATCAGCATCATCATTTCTATCTTCCCCCAGAGTTAACAGAAATGAATATATTTTCTTCTATGTAGTAATAGTTTAGAAACAATTTTGAGTTTAGTGCTGCAAAATGCTGCAGTTCAGATAAACACATTACATAGAAAACATTTAGATACTAACAATTAGCTTGCTTCTAAGTACAAATAAATTTAGGACTACCATCCCCTTGTCATTATTCAAAGTGTCATATGAACATATGCACTCCAAGGTGTCTACCACAACACCTAAAAAACTAGATTAGTGGGTTTATAATGGTAAGTAGCAATATTATCCTGGTATTTACTACTTTGTTATCTTCTACTAAATCTAAAGAATATAGTATCATTATAGGATTCTTCAGTCACTTAAAACAGCTTCATTTAGTAGCAAGATAATGTCCTCCTACATACTTAGCTACCCAAATAATGCACTACATAAATTTAAAGATTAATAACAAAAGTTATCTGTGCTTTTACATGCATTACCCCATATCCTCAGAATTCTGTGAAGTGGGCATTATTATTCCCATCTTATAGGAAAAGGTACTGAGTTAAGTGATATTCATGCTCAAGTTTAGAAATCCAACATTCAACTCATGCGGTATGATTTTAAACTCTCAGGTCTTTCCACTACACATTTATAGAGGACAATTAATCAGTAATACATTGGTCCTTCCTTACCCCCGAAGGATATGTCCCAATACTCTCAGTTGAAAGCACAGATAGTATCAAACTCTACCTACAAACACTGTAATATCAGAACACTAACTAGATCAGATAAATAAGACTGATACTAAGTAGCTCATGGATGGTTAAAATATACAGCATGAACATATTGGACAGAGGGTGGCAGAGAAAGATCACTCAAGATTTCATCATGCTACTCAGAAAAGTACAAAATTTAAAACTGATGGGTTGCTTATTTCTGGAGTTTTCCACTTAACAGTTTGACCTTTTTTTTTTTTTTTTTTGCCAATTCTAGGGCTTGAACTCAGGGCCTGGGCACTAGCCTTGAGCTGCTTTTGCTCAAGGCTAGCTCTCTACCACTTGAACCACAGTGCAACTTCTGTCTTTTTCTGTGTATGCCGTACTGAGGAATTGAACCCAGGGCTTACTGCAAGCACTCTACCACTAAGCCACCTTCCCAGCCTGACCTTGTTTGACATTGAATAACTAAAACTATGGAAAGTGTTTTAATTGTGGAAAAGGACAGATTATTGTGTAAATCAGCTTACATTTATGTACATTTTCAATATCTGCAGGGTCCTGCAGAATCTTAGTTAGGCCTTCCAAAAGAAGAGCTGCTTTATGGTAGCGATAAACAATATCTTCAGTCTGCTGAAACATTTCATCCAGGGCTGCAGACTGAACCTGGAACCAGAAAACAAAAAAAAGAAGATTCTTAATCTCTTCAAGAAAATGCATATGTATTTTTGCAAAGCAATTATAAATAGTGGCTACCTAAAGTGATAATCTTTGAATAAATTAATAGTCTAGTAAACTAGAAGAAAGAATCTACTGAAGTTCTGGGGCTATTATTATAAAAAAGGCAAGATTTATATGATTCCTTATGAAAGGACATTTTTCTTTTTAATTTTTTTTTGGTCGGTCGTGGGGCTTGAACTCTAGGCTTGGGTGCTCTCCCTGTGCTCTTCAGCTCAAGGCGAGCGCTCTACCGCTTGAGCCACAGTGCCACTTCCGGTTTTCTAGTGGTTTATTGGAGATAACATGGACTTTCCTGCCCAGGCTGGCTTTGAACCATGATCTTCAGATCTCAGCCTCCTGAGTAACTAGGATTACAGGTGTGAGCCACTGGCGCCCAGTGGACATTTTTCCTAGCACAAAATTCTTCTGAACCTTTAATTCAGCATGGAGTAATACATTCTAAATTATTGTTTGTTGCAACATAATCTATATTATTCAGTTTATATTCCAAAGTCATTTTTATATGACTACTATTTTAATGGATTTCAAAATAATACCAACAGTACAAATAGACAAATGGAAGAGATCTATTATATTAATATAGTTAAAACAAGATTAGTCAATAAATATATTTCCCAACTTCATCACTTCATTAGTAGTTCCTATATCTGTATATACTTCAGAGCAATAGGAAGAAAACCCAAATAACTTCTGATACTACAGAAAAAAATTGGAGAGTAGTTTTCATTTGGTGCCTAAATGTCAATAAAGGCAAAAAATGGCACCTGAGCACATGAACTATTGTGGATTGGTTAAGAATATATTTTTCTAACAGGTTTATCAAGTCGAATATTTTTTCAATAGTAGAAAATGGAGAAATAGATCCAGCTACCATTTTTAGATGCAGTCTATAAGAAATGAGATTATGGCTAATGCCAGTATACTTTGACAGGAGATTTAATAGTAGTTTATCAATATAGTAACTAAATTTATAAATTCCAATGAGTTCATTAAATAAATTACATTAAGAATCACTTCAATTATTAGTTCTACTGTCCCTTTAGTGGGAGTTAACGACAATACTTAAGGCTGGCGTGTAGGACGTAAGACTCTTTTTCTCAAGGACAGATAATGTCAAGTAGGATGTTAAGTAGGGGTTCAGTTCCAAAGACACTCTTATCAGCACTGTAGTGCTAAACAATATTGAACAAAAAAAGAGTTACCATTTCCACAGCACAATTATAGATGAGTTTCTCTGCAGTTACACTGTTGATTTCATCAATAAATCTCTGTTTATCAGAGAAGAAGCGATTTAGCTTTTCTGTAAGTTTCTTGCACATGGTGATACAGAATTTGTATCGCTCATTCAGACTTTTGACAACTGAAAAAGAATGCAGATGGGAACTAGTTTTAATTTCCCTGCAGAAATAACAAGAATGGGGAAGGTGGCTCAGTGGTAAAGTGCTTGCCTTACATGCTTGAGGCCCTGGGTTCGATTCCTCAGTACCACATAAGCAGAAAAAAAAAGTCGGAAGTGGTGCTGTGGCTCAAGTGGTAGAGTGCTAGCCTTGAGCTGAAGAGCTGAGGGACAGCACCCAGGCTCAGAGTTCAGGCCCCACGACCGGACCCCCTCCTCCCCAAAAAAAGAAATAACAAGAATGGACACACATTTTCACTTGATAGAAGAATGATAGTTCATGATCACTTCAAGGAAGGACATGAAATAGGGTTCCAGGAATTTTTAGTATAAAAACAGAATAAAGTCCGTATGACTTCTTTTTGAGTTGTTGATGAAACCTCAAACTCTAGCAACTTTTCTTCTTGTTAAGAATACTGGGTATTTTGGTGAGATGGAAAGGGACACCTCCAGAGACCTTGGAGCTACATACTGCCACCTTCTCCATACCTTGTTTTACAGCTGTGGATGGGCTCAGTTTCCCAGACTTGATCTGGGCTTTGGCAAGATGCAGGGAAGCTGCAAGTAGCTGTGCTGCTTTCATGTATAACACCAACTGCTCTACTCGCCTGCATAGAAGACAGAAAGAGAATATTACTTGTTAGCCAACCATTCAAATATCCTTTCTAAAGGGATATCTTTCTTATTTATTTAGTTACTTAATTTTCAGATGGATCTTGTATTTCTTTTCCTCCCAAGCGCTTGAAATCAGGACCTGGGTACTATCCCTTAGCATTTCCACTCAAGGTTAGTTAGTATTCTATCACTTGAGCCACAACACTACTTCTGGCTTTTTCTGAATGGTTTATTGGAGATACAGAATCTCATGGTTTTTCTTTCTCAGGCTGGCTTTGAACCATGATCCTCAGCTCTAACTGTCTTGAGTAGTTAGCATTAGAGGAGTGAGCCACCAGCCGCAGGCTCCTTAATTCTTTTTCTCTTCTTTTATTGAAACCATGTCTCCCTACAAAGTCTAGGCTGAACTCAAACTTAGTTCTTCCTTAATTTCTTCCAGCTTGGTATGGAGAAACAATGAAATATGAATTAAAAAAACATTCATTTCCATACCATATCTTTATCATAGAGTATCTTCAATGTTATAATTCACAGGAAAAAGGTAATGCTAAGATTATATAACTCTTGGCTCACACAGCAACCTTAAGAGATTCCTTTGCAGATTTTACTAATGAGATACAACTTACAGCGATGAGACTAGACTGATTATGTCTTAGACACAGATTATAAGAAGCATAAAAAGTCTGGAAATGTGTGGCAGTAGAAGTACCTACCCCCAGTCTTTGCTTAGCTGACTGATCTGGTCTACAACCACACTTTCCTGAATCTGGTACAAGGACACAGCAGATGTGGATAGCTCAGGGTTCCCTCCTCGCATGGCTGTCAGGTCTAGCACACACTCAGTGAACATCAGCATCACGTTCAGATGGCGTAAGGTGTCTGTGTGTTCTCGCTGTAGAAAAAATAATATATCTTAGAACATTTGAGATTTAGGATTTCTGTGCACATTTTCTATATAGTGTTATCCCACATTTAAGAATGAGCAGAGACAATTCACCTTAAGTTTCAGAGAGCTGTTGAAAAAACACAAATGAAATCAAACAGGAGTGTATGTGTTTCTGTGTATATATAAGAGTACCTACACAAGCAACCCCAAAGAAAGTTCTGTTCTTTTTGTTTTTGTTTTTGGTCAGTCGTGAGGCCTGAACTTTGGGCCTGGGCACTGTCCCTCAGCTCTCTAGCTCAAGGCTAGCACTCTACCACTTGAGCCACAGTGTCACTTCTGGCTTTTTCTGCTTATGTGATGCTGAGGAATTGAACCTAGGGCTTCATACATCCAAGGCCAACTGAGCTACCTTCCTAGCCCCAAAGTTCTGTGTTTTTACCAGAAAAAAACAAAAAATCAATATGGAAAGATTAACTCAATATACCCGAGACAAAAACATGACAAACAGACATGGAGACCATAAGGACTTTTTTTTTTTTTTTGCAGTTATGGGGCTTGAACTCTAGGCCTGAGCACTGTCCCAGAGCTCTTCAGTTCAAGACAAGTGTTCTACCACTTAAGCCACAGCACCACTTCCGGTTTTCTGGTGATTAATTGGAGATAAGAGTCTCACAGACTTTCCTGCCGGGGCTGAGTAGCTAGGATTACAGCAAGAGCCACCAATGCCAGGCTCACAAGGACATTCTTTACAATAAAACATACATTTTTCTCTTTTGAGATGGAGGGTCTCACAGTGGCACCAAGAATGGCCTCAAACCTGTGATCCTCCAGTTATACTGCCTCCCCAAGTGATGGAGATTGTAGGTATGTGCTACCACTTCTGAATCTTAAATCACACTTAATAGTTCAGTAAAGTCTACAAACTTGTAATCATTTCCAAGTTTCTTTAGTTTCTGATGGCTTCTAGTTCACAGTGATTGCTAAGAACAAAGTTCTCATTTCCTGTAACTAACTTAGTTACTAACGTAAGCATAGGAATCAAAACAGCATTTTTGAGGATGTCATTTTAAAATGTATATTCTAAAATTAATTCTCTTTTTGAGATTTGTCTTTTATTATAGGAAATTTTGAAATCCAAACTAAGACAAAAAGAGTTTCTCTTCTTTAATGGTTAAAAGAGGAAAATTGGCTGGGTGTTGGTGGCTTATGCCTGTAGTCCTAGCTACCCAGGAGGCTGAGGTCTGAGGATCACAGTTTGAAGCCAGTCTGGGCAGTAAAGCCCATGAGACTCTTATCTTCAATAAACCATCAGAAAAATGGAAATGGAGCTGTGGCTCAAAGTTATAGAGCACTAGCCTGAGCAAAAAAGGTCAGGGACAATGTCCATGCCCTGAGTAAAAGTCCCACAACTGACAAAAACAGAGTGGAATCATTTTTCTAGAGGTGAGAGAATAAACCACTTAAGTTTTGAAAGTCTCTCTGCTCTGTTTTAGAATATTGGACCATATGCTCCAATACAATGGAACACGTGCCTGAATATGATTTATTTCATTTTCAGGGACTAAGAACTCAGGATTACTGTTTCCAATTTTAGACTGAAGTAGATATATTTGAAAAATTACTGAAATTTCTGCAAAATCACTACTAAAATTTACATGTAATATAACTTTTATAACTATATAAAATATTTAATTTTTATTCATACAAAGTAGAATTTGTTTTTCATCTGGCCAAAGAATGATCAATCTCAGGCATCTGGAGGACTGAGGACACATTACCATACTGAGTGTTTTGAGTTAGGAGTGAGAGCTGAGTGAGCAATGTGATCCTAAAATGAACTACTGAGTTGAGCAAACTTCAGATAATATGCTTCTGTAGCCTATAGAACTGGATCCATAGAAGGGAGGTTCTTATCTACAAATGTCAGCATCCAGTCTGATTGCAATTATATTCTGTATCAATCACTAATCTGGCTTGATTTATTACTAGTTTTTATGAGACAGGGTCTCATAGCATTGTATTTTAAACTTATGTTTAAAATTACAGCATAGTATCTTAAACCTAATGTGTTATTTTATCTTGTAGAAAAAGCTTCAGGGTAAAACCTTTTTGAAACAAAATTATGCTTTAAAAATCCCACAATTATGATATATGTAATGGCTCATGTGTTGGTAATCCCAACTATTCAGGAGGCAGAGATCAGGAAGATTATAGTTCAAGGCCAGTCTATGCAAAAAATTAGCCAGCTCTCATCTCAAAAACAAAATGGGTATGGTAATTCTTTCCTGTAATCGGCTACTCAAGAGGCAGAAGTATGAGTATCTCAGTCCAATCTGTGCAAAAAGTTAACAACATTCTATCTAAAAAACAAAATAAAGGCTAAGTGTGGAGATGTAACAAGTGCTAGAATGGTTGCTGAGTAAATGTGAGGGCTTATAATCAATCCTAAAGAAAAAAAAACCAACCCTACAATTAGCTGGGTGTGGTAACACATATCTGTAATTCTAGTATTTGGAAAGTGGAGACAGGAGGATCATGAGTTTGAGGCTAGCCAGAGTTACAGAGTGAGAACTTACTAAAAAAAAAACAAAAACAATAACAACAGAGTTCAGGCATAAGGGCTGTGCCTGTCATCTCAGCTAATGGGAAGCAGAGATAGAAGGATTGTGGTTCAGGGCCAGTCTGGGGAAACATGTTAATGAAACCCACTCTCCAACAATAAGCCAAATTATATCTGAAATAGAACTAAACTAAAAGATCTGGAAAGGCTAGGCATGGTGGTTCACACCTGTCAATCTAGCTACTTGGGAGGGAGAGATGGGGAGAATCATGGTTTGAGGTCGCCTGGGCAAAGTTAGCAAGATCTCATTTTAACCAATAATCTGGGTGTAGTGATATGTACTTTTCATTCCAGCTATGCAAGAGGTATAAATAGTAAATTCACAGTCCAGCCCAGACTAGGCAAAAACATAAGACCTTATTTGAAAAGTAATTTCTAAAATAAAAGGGCTACAGGTATGGTTCAAGTGGTAGAATGCCTGCCTCGCAAGCACAAGATTCTGAGGTGAAACCCCAGAACTGCCCGCACAACTGCCCTTCCCAACTCTACACAGCAGGGTATGAGTGATGCACACCTTCCCAATATTGGGAAAATGAAGCAAGAGGATCATGAGTTTGAGACTAATCTGAGATATATAGTAGACATTCTAAAGCAACTAAATAAGCCTACAAATAGTAAACTTTGAATAAAAAAATTAAGAACACATAATCTACATGTGTCATTTCCTTTGAAACAAGGGTTGCTATGGACAGAGCATCATAGTCAACATTATTGTGCAAATATGCCAGCAATGTTTTGGCTTAAAATTTTATTTGGTAGTACTAAGGATTGAGCTCAGATCCTTTTACTTGCCAGGCAGGCATTTTCCGATTGAGCCATACTTCCCTCCCCTTTTGCCTTAGTTTTTTTCAAGGTTGAAATCTTGCTTTCTGCTAGGGCTGGCCTAGGCTGTGATCCTCCTATTTTGCTTCTCCATGTCACTCAGGATGCACAGCACTTGTGCCTAGCCATTGTGCTTCCATAGCTGGGATAACAGACATGTGCTACTGTGTCAAGCAAATGGTTGAGATGAAGTCTTGCCAATTTTTATGACCAAACTGGCCTCAAACTAAAATCATCCATCTCTGCCTCCTGAAGTAGCCAGGATTTACAGGTATGAGCTACTGCACCCAGGTTCCAGGAATGTTTTTCAAACAGAAAATTAAAAGTGAAAAGAACATAACCTCAGAATTATTTGATGTATTTTGCTCTTTGACATTGCTAGAACATTCCCATCATATCATTACATTACATTAACATTCCATTGTAGTTTCTTTGCTACCTCCATCAGTGTTTCCTCTGGTAGTTCAGGAGCTTCAAAGGTGATGAGCCCCTCCAGGCTGGGTGGTGAAGCACCATAAGGCACATATCTTAGGCTGGGAGCTGCCTCTGCTCCTGGTGGAGAAGAGCCCAAGCCTGGCCCAGGTGGGGAGCCCATACACACTCGGCCACTCGCAGAACACAGGGAGCCTCCTGAGCTGCTGGATCCAACTACAAGGAACACAGGACACACAGTATATTATTTGGAGTTTGTTCAGAAGGGCATTCACACCCACTCCTTGTATTTATTGAATAGGACTTCCTGAAGTAATAAAAGTTCAAAGAAAAATCCTCAAGCTTTTTTTTTTCCTGGTTCTGAGGCATGAACTTAGGGCCTGGGCACTGTCCTTGAGCCTTTTTGCCTAAGGTTAGTGCTCTACCAGTTGAGCCACAGCTCCACTTCCGGCTTTTTTTCTCAGTTTAGTGGAGATAAGTCTCATGGGCTTTCCTGCCTGGGCTGGCTTTGAACCATGATCCTTAGATCTCAGCCTCTTAAGTAGCTAGGATGACAGGTGTGAGCTCTTGGTGCCCAGTTGAAGTTTCTATTTTTGCAAGTTTGTTTTTATTTTGCCCATACATATATTTTATAGACATCATAATAGCTAATTTTATATCCTATTTTAAACAAATTTCTATCATAGATATTTCAAATTTCTATCATAGACATTTCTCCTTGTTCTATAGGCTTCACAATTATAATTTTTTTTTGCCGGTTGTAGGGCTTGAACTCTGGGCTTGGGCGCTGTCCCTCAGCTCTCCAGCTCAAAGCTAGTGCTCTACCACTTGAGCCACAGCACCACTTCCAGTTTTCTGAGTGGTTTATTGGAGATAAGAGTCTCATGGACTTTCCTACCAGGGCTGGCTTTGTACTGTGATCCTCAGATCTCAGCCTCCTGAATAGCTAGTATTATACGTGTGAGCCATAGGCACCTGGCCATAATTATAAAATTTTATATACAGTGATTCACTGACTTTAATATTATTTAGAATCATTCATTACTTTTGAATTTTTGTATTACCAATATCACTGCAATAAAATATAATGTTTCTTTGTGAATGATTTCTATGTGATAAGTACTCCAAAGTAGTGTTATAAACAGGAATGGAATTATCAGAGTTCAAATATGACAGACATTTTTAGCGCTCTGCCTAAGAATTACCATGTACTTAATTTTTTTTTTTACCAGTCCTGGGGCTTGAACTCAGGGCCTGGGCATTGTTCCTGAGCTGCTTTTGCTCAAGGCCAGCACTCTACCACTTGAGCCACACAGCCACTTCTGGCTTTTTCTGTGTTTGCAGTACTGAGGAATTGAACCCAGGGCTTTATGCATGCTAGGCAAGTACTATACCACTCAGCCACATTCCCAGCCCTGTATGTATTTTTAAAAGCATCATTAAGCATAGATAGAACTAAACATCAATAATAATGGCCCTTGTACTTCTAAAAAATGTTGGCACATTTAATAGTTGTAAATTGTTATATTTTTGAAATGGTTATTTATTATTATTATTGTGAAAATACCATACAGAGGGGTTACAATTACATGGGCAAGATGGTAAGTACATTTCTTATCAAGCATTGTTGCCTCCTCCTTTGTTTCCCCATAACATCCCTTCCCCTCTCCACCCCCTACCCCACCACGTTTTTTGAAATAATGTTTTGTACATCTCATTGTAGTAATGGGTCCACCTGTAACCCTATTTAATTAAATAGCTTGTTTTTTCCCTTCCCCTCCACAAATTATATCAACATCAAATACAGTGAAAGCAGGGCTTATACCCTTGGGGAGGTACATACAAAGCAACAAAGAAATCATCTTATAAATATGTTGGAAACAATCGCAAGAAAGAAAAAAAAACATTTCAACCTTTATCTTGGGGTTTATTTCACCTAACATCAACATATTTCACAGTTTCTGTTTGTCTCAGACATATACTAGTTATTGCAAATAAGGGAAACCATGGGACCTGTATTTCTTTGGGCCTGGCTTACTTCACTTAATATAATTTTTTCCAAGTCTTTCCATTTCCTAACAAGTGGGGAAATGTCATTCTTTTTGATGGAGGCATAGAATTCCACTGTGTATATATACCACATTTTCTTGATCCATCTACTGAGAGGCATCTGGGTTGGTTCCATGTCTTAGCTATGGTAAATAATGCTGCAATAAACATAGTTTTGCTGGAAGCTTTAGTATGGTCTTGTTTGTGATCATTTGGGTAAATGCCCAAAAGTGGGAGGTTATTTATTTTTTAATTAAGATTTAAACCTGGTGTTTATAATCCTAGCTACTCAGGAGGCTGAGATCTGAAGATTGTGGTTCAAAGCTAGTTTATAGGAAAGTCTATGAGACTCTTATTTTCAGTCTCTTCCTCCCCTCCCTCTCTTCCTCTCTCTTCCTCTCCCCCCCTCCCCTCTTACACAAAGTCAGAAGTGTAGCTCAAGTAGTAGAGTGTTATTCCTGAGCAAAACAGCTTAGGGAGAGCCCAGGCCCTGAGTTCAAGCCCCAGTACCAACACCAAAAGGTAACCGATTTTTTTGTTTGGGAGGGGGGGGGTCGGTCGTGGGGCTTGAACTCTCTGTCTGGGCGCTGTCCCTCAGCTCTTCAGCTCAAGGCCAGTGCTCTATCACTTGAGCCACAGTGCCACTTCCGGCTTTTTCTGCTTATGTGGTGCTGAGCAATCGAACCCAGGGACTCATGCATGTGAGGCAAGCACTCTACCACTGAGCCACCTTCCCAGGCCCAGGAAAACAGATTAAAAAAAAATTTAACTAAGGCTTTAGATGTACTTCCTATTATCTATTTCTCTACTTTGCTTACTAATCTATTGATATCCCAGTTAATATAATTTAAAATAAAAGGATTAAAGGACACAAGAAACAATACATATGATGATGACATCTACTGATTTTAAGTTCAGTCTGAACACTTTAATTTTTGAGAAAAAAATCTATTAGTCTGATTAACCAGTGTAGACATAAATTAAAACTTAAGTTTCTAAAAAGTAAAACAAAAAGAATATCTCATTAAAAAACTTATTGGATATACTAAAATAAACCTTCAACATATAAACTGAGAAGTTTAACAGTTACCATGAGTGTCAGAACTTAAGACAACTGTTCCTCACCTGAGGTGGTTCTTGCTCGCAGGACCATATGGGTACAAGTGGGGGCTGTGGCACTGTGTGGAGGAGAACCCACAGTGAAGAGGACAGCCCTGGAACTTGCTGCTGTTCCTGATGGCAGTGTCAGCATAACACCACAGGCTCCTGTAGGAGCTACAAGAAAGAGTTTGCCAATGGACAATGTTATTATTTGTGAGACTACAGTGATACTTTGACTTTTATATTAGTTTTTAAATCAGAAAATGCAATATAATATTAAATTAAATACAATATAATATTAAAGTATTTTAGAGCTGGATTTGGTGGTGAATACCTGAAACACACTTACAATCCTAACTACTCAGGAGCCTGAGATTTGAGAATTGTGATTCCAAGTCAACCCAGGCAGATACTCTTATCTCTAATTAATCAGCAAAAACCTGGAAGTGGAGATGTGGCTCAAGTGGTGGAGCACCAGCTATAAGTCAAAAGCTAAGAACAAAAGGCCCTGAATTCAAGTCCCAGTAGCAAAAAAAAGAATTACATTGAACTTTCCCCTAGAAACTATGCAACAAGCCAAGAATACAGTGAAATATTAACTAGTACAGCTTTTCTTTAGATTAGAAACCATTTCAATCAGTTATTTTGTTGTCCCAGATACTTCCTCCCTTGGGTGTTCAGAAGGAGAGTCAATTACAAAATGACAGTGAAAAAAATGACAGTGAAAGCATGAAGAATAAGAAGAAAGACAGTCAACTCCCAAATTTGAGTGTATATAATAATCACCAGGAGATTCCTAGAATCTATCCCCTAAAAATGTGATTAAACAAGACTGAATTAGGGTCTATTTCTGTGGGGTTTTTTTTTGTACAAAAACACACTTAGGCTAATCTAGATACAAGTGGTCTATAAATTTAATGATTTCTGGAACAATTATGAAAGGCTCAGGAACTATGGATCTTTATATCTAGTTGTTATATAAGAAATACTGTAGAGTACATGTGTGTTTAGGCTAATATTGGGCAGTGTGATTCTATTGATAAAAAACAATTTTGGTTAGAAATCCTTCCAATTCATGGGCTTCTAATCTTCAAGATATTGAACAAGCTTCTGATTTAACAAGTACTTAGAAGATGGGACAACAGAGATAACCTCCAGAACTGTAAGAAAATACATTAGTATTGTTTTAGCCATTAAGCTTTATTAAAATGTGGTAAGAAAGTATATATATATGCTAACAAATTACCTGTACCCAAAGAAACTACATTTTTCTTACCTATATCCATTGGTCGTTCTGTGTTTAAACTATCTGTGTTGCCCATGTGTCCACCTAAAGGTGCTTTTAGTTGCTGATCTGATAACTTTCCAGTACTGACAGACCTAAAAAGAGCAGTGATGTTAATAATGGCAAAGCACAGACAAGTTAATGAGAAGTCAAAGAACTAAAAAAACAGATGCCAGCAATTCTATAACCCAAATAAAAGAAACAGAAAAGCCACAAAGTTAGGAAGAACTCTGTATTTACACAATTTTAGGAAACATCAGGAGTTTTCAGACACTCTAAATCTAAAGCATAAACCAGCAACTTATATGGTCTGGTGGCCTTTATAATTTCTATTATAAAATGAAATATGGTCATTTTGCTGTTACAGTTTCCATTTTAAGGTTAGAGAGCAATTGATCTTTTACCTGCCAAACATTGCCTTGCTCTGCTGCTCAGATCGATGCCTCTCACTTCCTTGTACTAATAGGCAATGGGAACATTCACGTGGGTCATTCCCATCTTTGAATTGCCCTTCAGCAGGCCCATGACGAGTAACCAAGGCTAATAGGTTGGAAGACGCTTGTGTTTTAGGGATTTTGAAAGGAGCTGTGGTCTAAAGAAATATAAGCTAGTTAATATGATGCAAGAAGTTCAGAATTGGCAAGAGTTATGTTTACGGGTTAGGGGTATACATTTTAGAATTCGAAGTGGGTTTAAATACTGGCTCTTCTATGGACAGCTTTTCTGTCATTAGGCAGTTCATTTATACTTTCTAAGCCTCAGACAGCCTTTCTTAAGATTAATGGGATCAATTAAATAAAACATCAACAAAATAAAGTATTGACATGATGTAAGGCACACAGTAAGTGCTCACTGAAATAACTTCTGTCTCTCATAAGTGGCTAAGGTCCTGTATATTTGAAAAATATTATGGCTATTTGCTTATCATAAATCTTTTCCCAAACCCACCTATGTTTTAAAAATATACTTTTAGAAAAGGGGAAGAGGGAAAGTGATGTAGGGAGTGAGTCTACTTAAGATATACTACATGAATATGTGGACATGTCAGACTGCAACTCCCCTGTACAGCCAATTGATGCCAATAAAAATATAAAAAAGAAAAGAAAAAGAAACACACCTTAGTAGGAGAGCCAATAATGGTTGGTAAAGGAGTTTTAAAGAACCAATCAGAACTCCGTGGAGAGGATCCCATATGCTTGGTAGGAGAGGTTCCAAGGCTACCTGGCCGACTGGGCTGAGATGAGGAGCTGTACCCAGCTCCAGCATGGGATGGGCACACAGGGTCAGAGTGCTGCTTTCTGAGCTTCTGCTTGTTCTGATAGATATCAGTGAGAGTAGGGGTGCTCTGCAGTCTAGCACCCAATAAGAGGGACTGTGGTGACTGAGTCTGTGGCACTGGAGAACCTACCAAGAAAATGAATGCAATATGAACCCACAGTGAAGAAGTGTAGTGTAAAAACAGAAAACAAGACAATTTTTATTTTTTATTTTATTTTTTTGCCAGTCCTGTGTCTTGAACTCAGGACCTGGGCACTGTCCCTGACTTCTTTTGCTCAAGGCTAGCACTCTACTACTTGAGCTACAGCCCCACTTCTGGCTTTTTCTGTGTATGGGGAATTGAGGAATCAAACCCAGGGCTTCATGCATGCTAAGCAAGCACTCTACCACTATGCCACAATCCCAGCCCAAAGCAATTTTTAAAACATAGGAATTCTATTTTTTAAAATTAATTAATTTATTTTTTTGGTGGGTCATGGGTCTTGGACTCTGGGTCTGAGTGCTGTCCCTCAGCTCTTCAGCTCAAAGCTAACTCTCTACCACTTGAGCCACAGGGCCATTTCCGAGGAATTCTAACAAATATCTCATTTTTATTTATTTATTTACTCAGTCATAGGGCTTGGACTGGGCACGTCCTTGAGCTCTTTCATTTAAGGCTAGTATCCTACCACTTTGAACCATGGCTCTACTGGTTTTCTGGTGGTTAATTGGAGCTAAGAGTCTCACAGATTCCTGCCTAGGCTGGTTTCAAATCATGATCTTCAGCTCTCATCTCCTGAGTAGCTAGGATTACAGGCATTTGCTACCAGTGCCCAGCTGAATATTTTATTTTTCATGAGACATTCTAACAGTTGTTAGCATGACAAGAGATAATTTTCTGTCATCCTTAAAAACAATGAGAAGAGCCAGGAGCTGGTGGCACACACCTGTAATCCTAGCTACTCAGTAAGCTGAGATCTGAGGATCACGGTTCAAAGACAGCCCGGGCAGGAAACTCCATGAAACTCTTATCTCCAATAAACCTGAAGTGGCACTGTGGCTCAAGTGGTAGAGCACTCGCCTTGAGCTGAAGAGCTGAGGGACAGTGCCCAGGCCCAGAGTTAAAGCCCCATGACTGAAAAAAAACCAAACCAAAACAAAACAAAAAAACCCAACAATGAGAAGTACCTTATTGTTATTCTCAGGAGACAGAATTTAAGGATGATAGATACATTAGCTGGTTTTGTCAGCAGCTAATAAGCTAGATTAATTCTGTATAAATAATGGTTAAAGTTAATGAAGGCAACAAAGTATTACACTAAATAGGACAATTTCTATTTTTTATAAGAATATGTATTTGGGAAAAAAAGAATATATACTTGGGAACATCACTATAATTATTCTCTTCCACATAATGTTTCAAACTATCCTAGTTAAACCTGTTGTTGGAAAATAAAACCCCAAACTATAAAAGATGTAGGAAAAAAGATCATAAACATAGTAGATCTTTCTTAGGTTTTAGTTTTTGTTTAAAAAATAAAAGATGTATGGATAATTTATGGGCTGGGGGTATGGCTCAAGTAGTGTAGTGCATTTGCATAGTATGTGGAAGATCCTAAATTCAATCTCCAATATCACAAAAGATAGAAAGGATCTTTTTTGTGTTCTGTCAGTTTCACTAATGACATACTTAAAATTTCAAGTATTTGCATACTCTACAAAGAAAACACTCGTCTATAGATTTTCTTTACTTTAAGGAGTTACCACATCAAGACCTTGAAATGTTGGGTATCCCTTTTTTCACATAAATCAAGTTGTTTCCCATTGAAAGTCCACCATCTTTGAGCTCCAGTTACATATTTTCTTTGGTTTCTTGTAAGTCAAACTATTGTCAATAATAATAAGATCATACAATTTTTGTAGTGACCTAAAACTCTGAAGCTTGGAATGTTGGAATGTGCTAATAATCAGAGAGTTCAAGAGGCTGAGGAAAGAGGATTCTAAGTTCATTCAAGGCTACCCTGGCTACATAGTGAGACCTTAGTCTCAAAAACAAAACAAAACAAAACAACCACAACAGAAGGGCTGGGAAGGTGGCTCAGTGGTAGAGTGCTTGCCTTGCATGCATGAGGCACTGGGTTCAATTCCTCAGCACCACATAAGCAGCAAAAGTACCAGAAGTAGCACTGTGGCTCAAGTGGTAGAGCACTAGCCTTGAACTGAAAAGCTGAGGGACAGCACCCAGGCCCAGAGTTCAGGCTCCACAACCAGGGGAAAAAAAAAAACAGAAACAGACACTGACAAAAGTTTTATTAACCACTACAGGCTTGACCTCAATCCAAAGCTGACATTTACTTACAGAATAGTGTCCTACCCTTTACAGAAGTAATTTTAATAAATAAGTAAAAAACTGGGTGATGTGGTACATAGTCATGATCTCAACAATTTGGGGGGGGTTTAACATCAAGAATATGGTTTGAGGCCAGCCTAAGCAAAATAGCTAGCAAGATTCTGAAGCAGTATGTAGTGGTATGCCTGTGATCCCAGCTATGTGGGAGGCCATAAGAAGAGGGATTGTCTGAGATCTGCTCCAGGCAAAAACATTGAGACTCTACTTGAAAAACAAGTAAATCAAAAGGGTTAGAAGAGTGGTTCAAATGGTAGAACATGTGCTTAATAAGTGCAATATCCTGTGTTCAAATCCTAGAGCCACTAAAAATTCAGATAGATAAAGTAAAATCAGGAAAAGTTATTTAAGCTTCACTTTTTTTTTGGTGGGGGGGAAGGGTTCCTGGGGCTTGAACTCAGAGCCTGGGCTCTGTTCTTGAGCTTCTTTGTGCTTAAGGCTAGCGCTCAACCATTTGAGCCACAGCACCACTTCTGGCTTTTTCTGAGTGGTTTATTGGAAATAAGAGTCTCACAGATTTTCATGCCTGGGATGGCTTTGAATTGTGATCCTCAGATCTCAACCTCCTGAATAGCTAGGATTATTGTACAGGCGAGAGCCACTGGCACCTGGCTTCAGCTTCACTTTTAAGAAAACACAAAATAGAAAAAACTAAATTTAGAAATTGAGATTTTCAAAGTAATATGAAATTCCTCACATGCCCATACAATAAAATTTGAAATATTAAAGTATTTATAACTGGGCACTGATGGTTCATGCCTGTAATCTTAGCTACTCAGGAGGCTGAGAGCTGAGGATCCTGGTTCAAAACCAGCCTGGACAGTAAAGTCAGACTATCAAAAAAGCTGCAAGTGGCTGGGCACCTTCAGCTCATGCCAGTAATACTGGCTACTCAGGAGGCTGAAACCTGAGAATCACAGTTCGAAGCAAGCCTGGGCCAGAAAGTCTGTGAGACTATTATCTCCAATAAACTACTCAGAAAAGGCCAGAAGTGATGCTGTGGCTCAAGTGGTAGAGTGCTAGCCTTGAGCACAAAGAGGCTCAAGGACAGCATCCAAGCTCTGAGTTCAAGCTCCAGGACCATCATTAAAAAAAAGTTGGAAGTAGAGCTGAGGCTCAAGTGGTAGGGTACTAGCCTTGAGCAAAAGAAGCTCAGGGACAGCACCCAGGCCCTGAGTTCAAGCTCTAGGACTGAGCCCCTCCCACCCCACTCCACCTCCTCTACCCACCCCCTCCACCTCCCCTACCCACCCCCCCACACCAAAAAAGAATTTACACATATGTTTCCAGGCATATATATTATACAACAAAGCAATAAATTTATGCTTTATTGTAATAATACAATAAAGCAATTCCTTTTTCTTTCTTTTTGTGCTGGTCCTGAGGCTTGAACCTTATCCCTGAGATTTTTTGCTCAAGGCTAGTTCTCTACCACTTGAGCCATAGCTCCACTTGTGGTTCTTTGCTGGTTAACTGGAGATAAGAGTCTCAAAGAATTTCCTGCCTGTGCTACCTGTGATTGAAATTCTCAGATCTCAGCCTCCTGAGTAGCTAGGATTATAGGGGTTAGCCACCAGTGCCAAGCTCAGCAATTTCTTTTTTATCCAATGCTGACTGGTGGCTCTCAACAAGAAATAGGTTAATCAAGGTAACAAATTTCATTTTCTAAATTAATTTTCTTAATCTGTGTGGCAATGACTAAAACTTACCCAAATTATTTAATTCCTAAGACTTACTTCCATAAGGAAGTCTCATTCCGAAAAGGATACTAAGTAAAAGAATAAAACACATTAGGAGCCATGTGTTGGTGGCTCATGCCTATAATCCTAGCTATTCAAGAGGCTGAGATGTGAGGATCATGGTTCAAAGCAAGCCTGGACAGGAAAAGTCAGTAGGACTCCTATCTCCAATTAATCACCAAAAACCTAGAAGTGGAAGTATGGCTCAAGTGGTAGAGTACTAGCCTTGAGTGAAAATGTTAAGGGACAATGCCCAGGTCCAGCGTTCAAACTCTTGTACTAGAACAAAAAATAAATAAATAAAATTAAACACATTAGATCAAAACACTAAAAAGCAGGAGAGGAAATATTCTATATTAATTCTGTTGTTTTGGTAAAACTGGTAAAAAAAATCAATATTAACAAAATTCAAGTGATTAATATAGCAAATAGGTTTTCCTACCTGAGGAGTTTCTACTCCTAGATTCATGGCCCTGAGGATGCCCACAGCAACATTGACTACACTGTTCTGGAATGGTACCAACTATGAAGTAAGATTGTAAAAGAAAAAAAATTACTACAAACCAAGTAAGTCAACAGGCAATATATGCACAAATTGCTCACTGTACAATCATTTACACAATTTTAACTGGCAAAGGTTTAGATTAACTAATATTTATTGAGAAACCAATGTGCTAGACCCTGGGTACAATGAAATTAAAATAATGCAATATAATCAGATTTGAAACAACATAGAGAAGAAGGCCATGTAAACAAATAAATGCAAATAATAGGTATGTGTATAAAGCATTTTACTGGATGGGTGCTTATGGCTAACATTTGTATTCCTAGCTACTCAGAAGGCTGAGATCTGAAGATTGATGTTTGAAGCCAAGACAAGAAAGTCCTTGGAACTCTCTATCTCCCATTACCCACCAAAATGCCAGAACTGGAGCTATGGCTCAAGTGTTACAGTACTAGCCTTGAGCAAAAACACTTAGGGAGAGTGCCCAGGCCCTGAATTCAAGCCTCAGTACAGGCACACACTCACAAAAAAGCTGAAGTACAAGAATTTGTACTGTGGGCTGGGAAGGTGGCTCAGTGTAGAGCACTTGCCTTGCATGCATGAGGCCCTGGGTTTGATTCCTCAGCACCACATAAGCAAAAAGAAAAAAGCCAGAAGTGGTGCTATGGCTCAAATGGTAGAGCGCTAGCCTTGAGCTGAAGAGCTGAGGGACAGTGCCCAGGCCCAGAGTTCAGGCCCCATGACCAGACCCCCCCGCAAAAAAAAGAATTTGTAGTACAAAGTTCTTGGCGCTATGGAGCTACAGGGCACAACTGTTGTCTATGTATTCATTTGCTCCCAGGGTCACTCCAAGACAATGACTAATTCAGCACTGTTGAAGTATGTACAAGAATTCCTTTGACAAGCTAGTACTTGGATAGTCTGTAGTCTGGATAAAACTTTCTGAAAACTACTATAGTCTGAGACTCTTCTTATCCAAATTCCCCTTTATGCATTTCTTTCCAAGGTTTCAGACCTGAACCTGGTCTGTAGGCCCTTCTTCTCAACCTTCCCCTTTGGCTTTTACAAATACTTCCTCCCATCAGTCTCTTGCATGATAAGGTCTTTGCAACCATCTCCCTGAGAATTCAAACTGAAACAAGGAGAAGGTTTCAAAGAATTTATACAGACAAGAGACAAGTGAATAACAAGAAAGGGCAAGAGGCAAAGTAGCAGTCTTCTCCTTGACTGCAAGGTTAAGATCTTGCATTTAGTGCCTCAGGTGTTGCTAAGGGAGTAATGAAAGGGCAACATTTTGTTTGAAGATTTCTCAGGTAAAAATATCTAAGACCATTTCAATAGGTAATGAGGAAATTTCAGTTTTGTAGATATATTATTATAGGGTCTCCTGTGAGATTCTGACTACAGATAGGCTCCTCTGTTCTTCCCACCACTTTAGTGCCATTTTCATAGATGCTACAGACACAGTAGCTTTGGCCTCCCTCATATATACTCTGAATTTCAGCATTTTGTTCCTTTTGTTTTAGGTTCTCCTTATTCCGATGAAAGACTGTGTAGGTGAAGTGGAAGATGTGTAACAAAGCTACTGCTATATTTCCATTGGAAGGCTTCTGGTAGCTGTGATTCAGAGCTATTGTATTTTAATCCTCATACACATAAATGATAGCAGAGTTGGCATTTAATGCAATTTAGCCTAAGACTTCTGACTGATGTTTTGAACCTGTAGACTTAGTGAAGATACTTTTGACACATATGTTATTATATTCTCAAGTTTATACAGAGATTCTCAAGGGGGATTTGGGAGTGGAATACAGTGGGTGGGATAGAACATAAGTCTCCAGTAGGTTCACATGACTGCCATCATAAACAAATCTTTCTATGCAGAGTATGCCACATAAAATTGGTTGCAGTGAAAAAAGGTTGAAAGTAACTGCTTTAAACTCTCCTTACCCAAAGGGGAAGGTGAATAAGGTCTGGAAGACCCAGTAGAGAGTCTTCGCCCAACTGTCTGTACTGTATCTGCAGGTGCTGGGGAGCAGGACCCCAGCCGGAGGAAACCCATGGGGCTGGTGTTAGACCTTCGTACTACTGCAGATCTGAAAAGAAAAAGAGAATTAACTCTCTTTTTGGAAGAATCTAGATTTATTGCTGTCTGTCTAATTTATTTTCTGGAAACTTCTTCACAATGCGGGGGTTGAGATCTAAGGATTGTGATTCAAAGCCAGCCCAGGCAGAAAAGTCTGTAAATCTCCAATTAACTACCAAAAAGAAAAGAAAAGAAAAAAAAGCTAGAAGTGGAGCTGTGGCTCAAGAACAGAGTACTAGCCTTGAGCAAAAGAGTTCAAGGAGCCAGGCACTGGTGGCTCACGCCTATAATCCTAGCTACTTAGGAGGCTCAGATCTGAGGATCTTGGTTCAAAGCCTGCCCAGGCAGGAAATTCCATGAAACTCTTATCTCCAATAAACCACCAGAAAACCCGAAGTGGCACTGTAGCTAAAGTGGTAGAGTATTAGTCTTGAGCTGAAGAGCTGAGGTACAGTGCTCAGATATTAAGTTTAAGCCCCAGGACTGGCACAAAAACAAAAAAAAATTACTTAAGACTTAAGTTTTTGTTCATAAGCTTCATATTTATTACTATATTTGAAATTAAACTGAGAAATTTTAAAAATTAATTCATTACAAGTATGTCTATTTAACATAAAATGATGAAATACACATATTTTTAAAACAAAATAAGTGAGGTGATAGAGGATTATGATCCATTCATTTGGTGTAGGGCATCTGGGCTGTTTCTATAATTTGGCTATTGAGAAAAGTGCAGCAGTGAACATGGATGTTCAAGTGTCTTTACTGTATCCTTACTTGTAATATCTGGGTAGATGTCCAAGCGTATGGTTGGGTCATAAGTTTAGTTTGATGTTTAGTTTTTTGAAGACCTTCCAAACCTCCTTCCATAGTGGTTGTTGTAGTTTACATTCCCACCAATAGTGCAATAAGGTTCCTTTTTACCACATCCCTTCCAGCATTTGTTCTTGTCTGAATTTTTGATGGTTGCCAGTCTAACTGGGCAAGATGAAACCTCAAAATTGTTTTAATTGGCATTTCCTTTATAGCCAGGGATGTTGAGCACTTCTTTATGTGTCTACCATTCTTGCTTCTTCTGACAAGTGTCTCTTAAGCTCCTTTGCTCATTTATTGATTGCTTTATTAGTTGGGGGGGAGGATGTTAACTTTTAGAGCTTCTTGCATATTTTGGATACACAGCTGGCATGAAGATTTTCTCCCAATTGTTGGCTGTCTTTCTAGTAACTATGTCCTTTGCAGCAAAGGAACTTTTTATTTTGATGTAATCCCATTTATCAATCTCTCTCCTATTTGCTGTGCTCCTGGGACTCAAAAAAATTCCTGGGGCTAGGGATGTGGCTTAGTGGTAGAGTGTTTGCCTAGTATGCATGAAGCTCTGGGTTCGATTCCCAAGTACCACATAAACAGAAAAAGCCAGAATTGGCACTGTGGCTCAAGTGGTAGAGTGCTAGCCTTGAGCAAAAGCAGCTCAGGGACAATGCCTACGCCCTGCGTTCAAGCTTTCATTGGCCAAAAAAAAAAAAAAAAAAAAAATCCTACCTATGCCTATCGGTTCTAACGTTTCTCCTACTCCATCATCTTGCAGTAGTTTCAAAATTTCCAGTCTAATGTTGAGGTCTTAAATCCACTTTGAGTTGATATTGGTGCATGGTGACAAACATGGATCCATTTTAGTTATATCCGTGTGTGTGTGCGCCTCCCCTGGTCCTATGGGAAATGGGGTGGTGTGTGTGTGTGTGTGTGTGTGTGTGTGTGTGTGTGTGTGTGTGTGTGTGTGTGTGTGTGTGTGTGTGTGTGTGTGTGTGTGTGTCCAGTTTTCCCAACACCAATTAATTATTCAAGAGGCTATCTTTTTTTTCCCCGCTACCATGTATCTTTGGTTCCTTGTCAAATATCCAATAATTGTAGGTATATAGATTTATTTCTAGGCCTTCTAGTCTCTTCTATTTATCTTTGGGGCTGTATCTGTGCCAGTTAACAAGCTATTTTTGTTATGATAACTGTTATGATACCACCAGCATTGCTTTTTTTTTTTGCCTAGAATTGCTTTGGCTATTTGAGGTCTTTTGTTGTTCCATATGAATTTTTAGGTTGTTTTCTCTATCTTGGTGAAGAATGTTATCGGGATTTAGATAGGGATTACATTTGACAATTTTGATAGTAGATTGCCTTTGACACTATGGCCTGTCCATGAACATCCATTTCCTGATATCATCTTCCATTTCTTTCTTCAGATTTTTAGTTTTCACTGTAGAGGTTTTTTGCTTCCTTGGTTATGTTTATTCTAACATATATATATATATATATATATATATATGTATGTATCTTTTTGAGGCTTTGCAAATGGAATTGTTTTGCAGATTTTCCTCTGCTTATACATTGTTGGTATACAGAAAGGCTTCTGATTTTTGTGGCTGATTTTGTATCCTTTAACTTTGCCAAAGTTGTTAATCAGCTCTAGGAGCTTGGTGATGGAGTCCACAAATAGGGATAGTTTGACTTCTTTCCCTATGTGAATTCTTTTTATGTCTTTCTCTTGCCTTATTGCTCTATGTCCTTTGATTGGGGAATTAGCCCATTGATGTTTAACATTACTATGGAGAAATGTCATGTTTCCTGCCATTTTGTTGTCTTCCTATAGCTTCCTTCCTCTTTTTGTGTTTACTAACCTAGTCTTGTAGTGATTTTTATTTGAAGTTATGTTTCCTTGACTGTGATTGTCTTCTTCAGATACTGTACTTTCCTTCAGTATCCTTCATAGTGCTGGATAAATGTTCATGAATTCCTTTAATTTTTGTTTGTTGTAGAAGGTTGTAGTTTTTCCATCAATTATGAGTGATAGCTTTGCTGGGTACACTAATTTAAGTTGGTAATTGTTGGTTAGAGCTTACATTATACCACTCCAGGCTTTCCTTGCATTCAGAGTTTGTGTGGAGAAATCTGTTCCTAATCTTCTTTTCATTCTTTGATTTTGCTGTATTTAAATTTAATTCCTCCTTTTTCAAGTCCAGCATTTTTCACTATGATGTATCTTGAAGTATTTCTTCTTGGATCCTCTCTGTTAGGAATTCTGTATGCCTCTGTCAAGTGGGTGAGATTCTCTTTCTTGAAGTTGGGTAAGTTTTCTGTTATTATTTTGTTAAACAGGGTTTTAATGCCTTTAGTTTTGAATTCTTCTCCCTCATCTATCTTGCTTATGTGTAGATTTGATCTTTTGGCCAAATTTGCCAGTATGTTCAGAGTGTTTTTATACATTCCTTTTTTTTTGGGGGGGGGTCTGGTCATGGGGCCTGAACTGTGGGCCTGGGCGCTGTCCCTCAGCTCTTCAGCTCAAGGCTAGCGCTCTACCACTTGAGCCACGGCACCACTTCTGGCTTTTTTCTTTTTGCTTATGTGGTGCTGAGGAATCGAACCCAGGGTCTCATGCATGCAAGGCAAGCACTCTACCACTGAGCCACTTTCCCAGCCCCCATTGCTTTGATTTTTTTGTTCCATTTCTTCTGCTTTATCCTCAACTCCTGATACTCTAGGGTTTTTTTTGTTTTGTTTTGTTTTTTGAGGGTCCTGAGCTTGAAATAAGGGCTTGAGTACTGTACCTGGGCTTCTTTTTTTGCTCAAAGCTAGCGCTCTGCCACTTGAGCTACAGCACCACTTCTAGCTTTTTCTGTGTATGTGGTACTGAGGAATCGAACCCAGGGTTTCATTCATGCTAGATAAGCACTTTATCACTAAACCATCTTCCTAGCCTGATACCTTGGTTTTCAGCTTTTTTAATTCTATTGCTTATGCTTTCAACTCTGCTTTGCAATAGGAAATAGAGCTTTTTGTGGTTCCAAGCTCTTTGTTGATATCAATTCTTATGTGCTTTATTGACATTATGGTGAAATAGTTCTGCATCTGGATGTGGCAGTCTGGCATTCCAGTTCCTGCTTTTTCCATTTTGGACCTTTAGTTCTAGAACTTTAGGTGTGTCACTGTCTGCACCAACCGCTGCTGAGGGTAGGGGTAGGGTGAGGCACCTTACTGTGGTACCTCTTCAGTTTCTATCCTTGTATGCATGCAGTATAAATTCTTCTTTGTTGGTGTGTATCTCTGTTTATAGTTTTCTTGGTGTCACTCGAGGTGAAGTGCATTCTATGACCCTAGTTCACTTTGATCGGAGAGAAATTACTCTGCCAATCTTCCTTTCCTTTCACCATCACTTTTAACAGAAATGTCAGAGAAGTTCACTAAGAAGTTGTCAACATCATAATGAATATGAATTTTACAAATTTTAAACTTTTTTGAATGGAAAAATTGATATTTATTGTCCCTTGTTTTCTAAGTAGTAAAAAATTAGTTCATTTCTAACAAAAATTGTTGCTAGACTGTAGTTTGTCCATCATTCTTTAAAATAAAATACATACACCCATGTGTGTGCATGAGCACGTGCATGCATGCACACACACGTGTGCGCGCGTACACACACACACACACATATATACAGACTAGTTCAGCTTTCAACTTAAACAACTGTACAATATTTTTCCTAAGACGGCTGCTCTAACATGCCACAAAACTGCTTCATGGATTTGTGCTTTTCAACAAGAAATAACATTTGATGCCTTGTTAAGGACATGTTTTTGTACTGAAAAAAATATATTGGTGAAGAACACAGACTAACTGTTCAGTTGATATCACCAGTTTGATTCATACTAAAGTACCTGCTATTTTATTCATCTCTGCTTTCTGCACCATTATTTATCAATGCAGTCAAGAGAGTAAACAACATTATAGATACTTATGAAAAGAATGACCTCACAGGCCCTAGGAAGAGATTCACAGACCATACATTTGAGAATCACTGCTGGATATACCATTCATCATTCTACTTTATCATTTCTTTTCTTTTTTTTTTGTTGGTCATGGGGCTTGAACTCTGGGCTTGGGCACTATCCCTCAGGTCTTCAGCTCAAGGTGAGCACTCTACCGCTTGAGCCACAGCGCTGTTTCTGGTTTTCTAGTGCTTTATTGGCTATAAGAGTCTCACTAAGTTTCCTGCCTGGGCTGGCTTTGAACCGTGATCCTCAGATCTCAGCCTCCTGAGTAGCTAGGACTACAGGAGTGAGCCACTGGTGCCCAGCTACTTTTTTCATTTCATATTACACCTTAGAAACTTAACTGATTCTGTACTTAAGAGAGCTTCTTTATTCTTTTGGAATAAAAGCTGCATAGTATTCCATTGTTCTAGATGGAGTATATTAGTCCTTTACTGGTGGGCATTTTAATTTTATCTCATTCTTTACAATTTTTTAAATTGTTATTATAAAGATGCTGTAATAGATATAGTTACGTAAGTCAGGTAAAAAGTACATTTCTTTTTGGACAATGTCACCTCTTCCCTTTCTCATTCCTTTTTTTTGGGGGGGGGGTTGGTTGTGAACTCTGGGCCTGGGCACTGTCCCTAAGCTCTTCAGCTCAAGGCTAGCACTCTACCACTTGAGTCACAGTGCCACTTTCAGTTTTCTAGTGGTTAATTGGAGATAAGAGTCTCACGGACATTGCTGCCCAGGCCAGCTTTGAACTGCGATCCTCAGATCTCAGCTTCCTGAGGAGATAGGATTACTGGTGTGAGCCACTGGTGCTGGGCTCCTCATTTAAAATTAGTAATTTTGTATACATGCAATCTCATACACAGACTATATAGAGACTGTGAATAGACCATATATATTTACATGTAAAACAAGTAACCAGATATTAAAGTGCTATTTTTTTCCCTTCATTTTGCTTGGGTTCTCTTGAGACTTAAGCCTCTCTGGGGTTTCTGTGAAGAGCTACTAATTCTCATTCTGCCATAATCCCTGATCACACACATATAGTTAACATTTGCCATGCTGAATCAAAAATCTTTCTTCCACTCTCTGTTTTCTAGAAATGAAATGTAATCACCACTGAATAACTAGTCTTATATTTTTACTAGTTAAGTTTTAGTGTTTAAATCTTTATTATCATCTTTTTTTGGGGGGGGGATCTGGTTGTGGGACACTCTACCACTTGACCACAGCGCCACTTCCAGCTTTTTTCCTTTTGCTTATGTGGTGCTGAGGAATCGAACCCAGGGCCTCATGCACCACATAAGCAAAAGGAAAAAAGCAAGGCAAGCGCTCTACCACTGAGCCACCTTCCCAGCCCTATTACCACATCTTTTTGTATGTATTTATTCATGAACTGGGGTTTAAACTCAGGGCCCCAAGCTCTTGCTTGGCTTTTTCCACTAAAAGCTGATATTGTATCACTGGAGCCTTACCTCTAGTCCAGTATTTTGTTGGCTAACTCATAGGCACTCAGTTTGTTTGTTAATTCTTTTTTTTAATGTATTTTTATTGTGAAAATACTGTACAGAGGGGTTACAATTACGTGGGTAAGATAATGAGCACATTTCTTATCAAGCATTGTAGCCTCCTGCTTTGTTTCCCCTTCCTGTCTGCTTTGTTTCCCCTTCCCGTCCCTTCGTATCCTCCCCTCACCCCCCGTCCTCCCCCACCAAAGTTGTAAAGTTCATTTTTCGACATAACGACTTGTACATCTCATTGTTGCAATGGGTCCTCCGATATCCCTGTTTTTACAGTTTGTTTTTTCCCTTCCCCTCCATATATACCAACATCATATATAGTGAAAGCAGGGTTGTACCATGGGGGAGGGACATACAAGGCAACAAAGACATAATCTTATAAATATGTTAGAAACAATCGCATGAAAGGTCTCTCTCTCTTTTTTTTTTGTCAGTCGTGGGGCTTGAGCTCTAGGCCTCGGAGCTATCCCTGATGTTTGTTAATTCTTTATAGCAAGGTGCTAGTGGTTCATGCCTATAATCCTAGCTACTCAAGAGGCTGAGATCTGAGGAACATGGTTCAAAGCCAGCCTAGACAGGAAAGTCCATGAGACTCTTATCTCCATTTAACCACCAGAAAACCAGAAGTGGTGCTGTGGCTCAAAGTGGTAGAGTGCTAGCCTTTAGCAAAAGAACTCAGGGACAGCACCCAAGCCCCTAGCACCATGACCAACAACAAAAATAGTAATTATACTTTATATATAATATTATGTATAATAGCGTATTATATGTATACTACATATAATAATTATACATATGTGTATATTTTAAATAATATCATTAATAATAAAAATGTTAAGAAAATAAAAAGAATGAAGACATTAACTTACCTTGGAGAACCATGTGGATTTGTGCCAGAGCTGGAAGTAGATGTGAGATTCTGCTCAATGCGCTGATAATTCCTTATTTGAGTAGGAACTGGAATTGGGGCTGTTTCACTGTGAGGTGACACAGTAGGCTGACACTGCCTGTCATCGTTTATTGAAAAAGAAAGAAATATCTGTAAGACATGAGGAAAAGCTCAACATTCCTGGCCATAAAGGAAATGCAAATGAAACAATTTTGAGATTCCATTTTACCCCAGTAAGATAGACCAGCATTGATAATTTGAATAGTAACAAATATTGGCAGGGATGTGGGGAAAAAAGAACCCTATTATACTGCTAATGGGAATGTAAACTATTACAACCACTATGGATGGTAGTTTGGAGATTTTTTGTTGTTGTTGCTGTCAGTTGTGGCGCTTGAACTCTGGGCCTGGGTGCTGTCCCTGAGTTCTTCAGCTCAAGGTGAGTGCTCTACCACTTGAGCCACAGAGCCACTTCCAGTTTTCTGGTGGTTAATTGGAGAGAAGAGTCTCATGGACTTTGCTCCCTGGGCTGGCTTTGAATCACAGTCCTCACATCTCAGCCTCCTGAGTAGCTAGGATTATAGGCATGAGTACCAGTGCCTGGCTAGTTTGGAGATTTTTAAAAAACTGAATATAGAACTACCGTATGATCCAGCAATACCACTCTTTGGCATCTACCCAGAGCATTCTAAATCAGGATATGGTAAAGACAATTACACTTCCATGTTTATTGCTGTGCTGTTTACAATAGGCAAGTTATGGAGCCGGGTGCTGGTGGCTCATGCCCGTAATCCTAGCTACTCAAGAGGCTGAGATCTGAGGATCATTGTTCAAAGCCAGCTCAGGCAGGAAACTCTGTGAGACTCTTATCTCCAATAAACCACTAGAAAACCATTAGTAGCACTGTGGCTCAAGTGGTAGAGCACTCACCTTAAGCTGAAGAGCTGAGGGATAGTGCCCAAGCAAAGAGTTCAAGCCCCATGATCCGAAAAAAAAAAAAGGCAAGTTATGGAAATGGCCCAAATGCCCTACAATAGATGAGTGAAAATGTGGCTAACATCATGCCTAGATAGTTTTAATCATTACCTGCCACGCTACAAACAGTGCTCCAGCTGCAAAGCTCAATGTTAGAGTAGCAAAAAGAGGTGTGTGAATAGAAGTTATTTGTTGAGTGCATAAATTGAGGACATTTTAAATGAGTATAAACAATACAACTAACCATAAGCTTTAAGTCTCAATCTCTCACAGAGTTGCTCACTAGCCAGCCTAGAATGTCATTGAGTTGAGAATATTTGTCCCAAATTCAGTAAAAAAAAGAAAGAAAGAAAATGTGGTATATATACACAATGGAATTTTACACATCTACTAGAAAGGATAATATGTCATTTGCAGGGAAATGGATGAACCTAGAACAAATCAGGTTAAGTGAAGCAAGCCAGGCTCAGAGAGACAAATGGCACATTTTTTTCTCATCTATGGAAGTTAGATCTAAAATATAACTAGGCACAATAATATATACAGCGCTTAATGTATTTACACACAAACAAACTGACTAAAGGATGGTATTCTTAGAGGAAGAATCCTCTGAACAACTAAAGTACTGTTCATCAAAACAAATACTAGGAAATGGAAACATGGACCTTTTTGTGGGAGGTCAAAGAGGGACACAGGAATGGAGGAAGGGTGAGCAAATGTAGTCATTGTATTAAATATACATTATGTAAAAATGAACTGTATAACTTATGGGTAGGGATGAGAGGGAGAAAATGGGGGAGAAAAAAAGCAAGAGTGATATTGTCCAGGAAGCATTGTACTCACAATCTGACTTTATGGAATTTTAAGCCTTTTATAACTACTTAATAATAACAATAAAAATATCAATGACTTTTTCTTTCATCTGTTAATGATATTTAGAGAAAATTCTAGAAAGAGACAAATGATCACTTCTGGATATAAACAAGAAATGTATAAAACAACAATAACAAAAAAATCACACCTGTATCTAAAGAACTACTCTGGAATTCTCTGTACATTCAAGACTAAAATTTGTACCAATAACCCCCAAAACAGTCCCTCTACAACAACAGGAAAAATCCACAGGCTGGCAGAATTGTTAATCCCACATTCTGTTATTCATTACTATATGATAGAAAAAAATATTTCTAGAAAAACATGCTGGGTAAAAGAACAAGAAGTTCAAGAGCAAAGATGACTGGAATGTTTACAAAAGTCATGAATGCAGCAAGCATTTCCAAGGAACTTTTCACTACACAAAGACTGAAAACACATTGCGCAATTCTCAAAGCATACAACTGATATGAAGTTCACATTCAAGTGTATTTGTTTTCCTTAATTTATTAGTGTTTTCTCCTTGATTTTAATAAATTCAGAAGTGGTATGTATGTCTCTAGGTGACTTCCAGTTCATTTTACAACATATCCTAAAACAATATTGGAGATAATATTGTGCCTTAAGAAAGGTGACATTTCATTCTTGTATAGTTCTAACAATTCCACATTTTCCCTGGTTAAAAAGATAAAAAGAAATCACATATTGACTCATTCAGTAAATAAGAGAAGCTAACCCAGGTAGAAAAGTTTATAAGATTCTATTTCTAATGCTAGCAAAATGCTTGGCTGGAAGTGTGGCTCAAGTGGTAGAATGCCAGCCAAGCAAATAAACAGGCCATGCAAGCATGAAGCCCTGAGTTCAAACCCCTGTACTACCAAAAAAAAAGAAAAAAGAAAAAAGTCCCATTTGTAGAAGATATGTTGTTTTTCAGTAGTTATCCATCCATTATTTCTAATAGAATTAAAAATTTATTGATGGTAGTGATATGACCAGTTAAATTACGACATGTTCCAGATTCCCTTGTAATCGGTTAGCTATATGCCTTTTAGCCAATGAGAGGTAGTGGAAGTCTTCCATTCATTTTCCTTCTTCTTGCCCAGAATATAATTATACTTGTAGGAGCTTTAGCAACTACCCTGCAATTGTGAAGAAAAGGCCAAAAGAATCGGATATATTTAACTTCCTTGTGCTGTAGAAACTAAGGCAACAAGTATTTATTATCTTGGCTTTCCTCCCGACATGAGAAACCTTTTAGTGTTTAATCACCCTATCAGGATCCAGTAGTTGACAGCTAGATAGAGTTCTTAACTAGTCTGTGGTTTAATGTGCTTCTATATACTCTCTAGTTTTCATTTAATTCAATCAAGCTTGATCTCAAGACTGGATGGTATAGCTTAAATAGCAGAGGGCCTGCCTACTTCTCTAGGTACTAGAGTTTGAACTCAAATAAGTAACTAAAGTTGAACTCAAAGAAGTAGACAATAGAATATTGGGGCTGGAGACATGGCTCAGGTCATAGAGTGCCTACTGAGGCAAGCAAAAGGTCCATGTAAATAAATAAGTATATAAATACACACACACATATATGTATTAGAACAGTGGTTACCACAGCCTGTGAAGAGTGTGGGGAGGATGATTAATGGGTGCAGGGGACAATAGGACAGGAAGGACATAGTAGAACAATTATGGTTGACAATTGAGTAGTTTTAAATCCCTACTTGGATTTTTGTTGGTGGTGGTGGTTGTGGGGCTTGAACTCAGGGTCTGGGCATTGTCCCTGAGCTTTTTTCACTTAAGGCCATGTCTGGTTTTTTGGTGTTTAATTGGAGAGAGTCTCATGGACTTTCCTGCCCAGGATTGGCTTTGAACCACAATCCTTAGATCTCAACCACCCGAGTAGCTAGGATTATAGGTGTAAGCCACCAATGTTTGGCTCATAGTTGGATTTTTAAAGATCTTAATATGAAGAAATGACATAGCCCTGAGGTGGCAGATATGTCAAATGCCCTGATTTGATCATTATACATGTGCTGAAATGACATACTGGATCTTGCAAAGATGTAAAATTACTATTTGTCTGTTTAAAAAACTGTATTTTTTAAAAAAGAAAATCTTCCCTACATCTCCAGCTAGAGTTTTTTCTAGCTTTATATGAACATCAATTTTTTAAATTTTATTTTTGTTATTATAAAGATGATGTACAGAGGGGTTACAGTTACATAAATCAGGTCATGAGTATATTTTTTTTTGGACAATGTCACTCCTTCCTTTGTTCTCTGTTTTTCCCTCTTTTCCCTCCCCACAAGTTGCATAGTTCATTTCCAATGTAGTGTGTCTAGTGAGTACCACTGCTGCATTGTTCACTCTTTGTCCCTCCATTTCTGGGCCCAACTGTACCCTCCTGAAGACAGATAAATGAACAAACAAGACAAAAAGAAAAGAGCAAAAACAACAACAAAGAAAAAAAAACCTCTTGTTTCCTGGAGTTCATTTCAATAAATATTATTTTATATGATCAAAGGTGTAAAAATCTCACAAGTTATCATGAGGTAACAATCACTGGGATATGAAGACATTTTAATATTGCATAGTTAATTTAATACTCTTTTTGTATTTGTTTCTACTTGCATTTAATATATTGTGGTAGAAAGTATTATTAATTTTTACACTAGGAGATCCCCAGTAGCCTATGTTTTAGGAAGGCTAACAAGTTCTCAGGACAGTGGCCATATAACTAGAAAGGACAGAAGAGGGCAGGATCTAGTCCCACAAGAGTTCCAGTGAAGCTTAATCTTCTATGAGCTCAGTTTCACAGAGCTGTGGTAAGTGATAGAGAGTTGGCTAGAGATAAGATGCTTATTCCTCAAAGATCAAAACAACAATAGAGAAGGACAGAGCTGACATATCCATCCATAGTTGTGGATCGACATGGAATGAAGGTGGAAGATCCAGCAAGAAAAAAGTTGTGTCTATGGAAGGAAGCTATCAAAATGGTATACCCTAACCCATCAAAGCCTGGTTCACAGTTGGCTTCTATCAACAATAGGCCATAAAAAGTCTAGGAATTCTAAAATACTTTATGGCTCTGTTCATGTGTTGCCTGGAATATATATGTTTCTTACATTTTTTTGAAGATTATCATGTAGGCAATGAAAGAATGTTACTAAGAAGCATTTCTTTAGGTGAAAGAAAAAAGTATAAAGTATCATATAATGGGAAAACAAAGTGAACAAGAGTCAAAAATAACACAAGAACAAAAAGGGATGG